TCCCACAGTAGAAAGAATGCCAGTTTATGGTTTAAGTCAAGGCTTTTTTAGTGTTAGTGAGCTCTATATCCAATCTACCTAGCAACAATAGAAAATACAGGGTTTTTTCTTCTTTATTTATTTAATTATTCATTCATTCATTCATTCATTCATTCATTTATTTGGTACAGGGTCTCTCTATGCAGTGAGTACTTGTAGTGATCCTCCCCTTTCAGCCTCCCCAGCCCTGAGATTGCAGGCATGTGTGACCATACCTGGTTTTGGGGCCTGTATGGTGCTCCCGGGGTCCTGGGGCTGGCACAGCATGTGGTACCAGGGATGGAACTGGTCCTTGGACTTGTCAGGCAGGCCCTTAGACCACCAAGCCATCTCCCCAGCCCCAGCTTTTATCTTAAGTTCTCTGTGTAAGCACTTCCTATGTCATTATGGAAAAAATCTATTATGCAAGTCAAACCACAAAAGAGCAAATAAATTTACTGACGTAACTAAAAATATCACGGTTGATTTCATGCTAGCACTAAAATTTCAGATGTTCTTGTCATTGCACGTTAATCTATGAAATAAAAAAGCAGCACTAAACATAAGATTTTACACTCCAGCACACAAGACAGCACTCAGCACTAAAACTGTGTCTTAGCAAGGGTAGAACACTGCAATTGCAAATGTTAAATCAGAATTTATTAGAAATTGCATGAATTTGTACAATGAATAAAAAAATTCATTGAGAATTTTCTCAAATGAGAAAATTCTTGATTCTGAATTAATGACACTTTGCTTAGAACTGAAGTATACTTTCTTAAAAGCAAACTCAGTAGATTACATAGTAAATGTGTCATTGTCACTGGTTCCTATTTTAAATGCACCTTTCCAACAAGCATAGAATAAAGAACAACCTGGCCTGTTGAGCTATCTCTCAGCTATGTGATATAAATTCTGCTCCAGCAACACAATCACTCACCTGAAATAAATCAAAGCTCTTTTTCTTTTGGTTGAAATAATGAAAAAAAGAAGGATATATTTGGGTCAGTTTTAAGAACATGAGAAATTTGGAGACCATGATGCTAAATGAAATAAATCATACACAGAAGGGTAAGTGCTGCATGACTTCTCTAATGTGAGAAACTGAAAGTATGACTAATTTAAAGAAGTGAACAGAAGAAAGCTGGCAGCAAGTGGGGGGACTTTGCAGGTACGGAAAAGGGATCTGGAGAAAGAGGGAGGGGTGGAAATTTAAGTGGAAAGAAAATCATCTCAATGTGATGTGTGTGTTTGCCAATTTCCTAAAGTTAATGTAATTATTACGTATTACACCAATAATAAAAATTAAGTATTGAGGATAGACTACCCTTTATTGCAGCATCTGGGATCATCACAATCACCCTGTAAGCAGTTCCTACAATGCTTTTAACTTTTGTGGTGCCAGGGATTGAAACCAGAGCTTTAGCCCAGAGCTACATCCATGGCCCTCTGATTTGGGAGAGGTAAAGAATCTCAGAGTAATTTCCACATGTGCAGACGGAGAGGCCCAGGAGGGTGTTACTTGTTCAAGTTCACATAAGGTAATGGAATCAAGAGTCTGATCCCAATATTTTGCTGAGTTTACACACCTATAATATTCAAATGACGGAACTAAACAAAAAAGGGGATACAGATGAATGTCCACTTTGTATCTGTGTATTCAAATTGGATGGGATAGATATATAGTAACATTCTCTTAATGAATAGAGTGATTTGTTCTAATAGTGTTTGTAAATAGGACATCAAGTCCGCATCTTGTACAACAATTAACCACTAGGAAGAATGTATGCAACGTGTTAATTATTGAAACTGTCCTACCAATTTGGTTTGAAACTGTCTCATTGCTATTTGTTTCTCAGTAAAATTATGGGAAAAAAAAAGTCTGATCCCAGATGTCTGATTTTAACATCTATCCCCTTGTTCACATTGACCGCTACTCATGATGCTGCTGCCAGGTGCTGGCCCCTCGTCTTTATCTCGAGCCAGCTTACATGTGAAAACGCCACAGGACGCGTGGTCCATGCCTTGTTGACCTTGTCTCTCCCGTCACATTGTGCTTTTGAGAACAGTCATATAGGACAAAAGGAAAATAACTCACTAACCTATTTCAAGATTCACACTGATAAATTTTAATGACATGCATTGGCAATGTGTGAGTGAAAGGATAATGTCGATGTGACACTGGGAGATAAATTATGTCATAGTGTCAATGACATTTTAATAATTCTATCAGTAGTCCTCCTTAATTTCTACCCCCGAGATGTCTTTAGAAACTTAGTCATTATTTCTTTCATAATTATTTGGATGGTACCTGAGGGAGATTTTCTCATTACCCCTGATACTCAAGACTTTATTATAAATAGTGAAAAATTACCACTTTTGATTCTCTTTTGCTGAAGGTAGGTCTACAGGTTTTACATTCTTTGTGATGTAGAATCATACAGTTAAATTTTATAACTTTAGGTACTATTTTAAACAGAACAGTGTTGTCTTATGTATAGATTTCTTTGTTAACAAACTGGTTTATTGGACTATTGATCTTCACAGTCTTATTTTAAACTATACAAGAGTAATATGAGGGTATTGAGTGCGTGAAAATCACAGAGCTATTGATTTATACCTTTACTCATTACCTCCATAAGAAATCATTTAAATGTTGGCAAAATTTATTTGTGAATTACATACTCCACCTTGTTGATTGTTTTAAAGAAAAGATTCATCCTTCTGTAATAAATTGATTTTCTCATAAATGTTGCTTGTAATGTGGTCCTAGACCAACAGAATTCCCTAAACATAGAGGAGTGGGGAGAAGCAGTTTTCTACTGTTTCTCTATTCTAGTTGCCTGTGCAGTCACAAAAGCTCCCATCAACCCACAAACAATGAACTACTAAAGGGAGAACTTACTGGAAGGTAATCCAAATGAACTTTAGATGGTTAGAGGCATCCTAGTATAGGTTACCAAAGGCAGCAAGAGAAGGGTATTAAAGGTATAAAAGTGGTTTCACGTTGTTCAATCTGTATTTGAGCCCTTCTGGATGACTAACTCGAGAGTCAGAGAGATCTAAGAATCTCATTGCATGAGTTTCATTATTACCAACATGGACCTGCAAATGGAACCTGCCTCATAGCTACTTGCAGGTAAAGATTCAAAGAGCATTCATGAAATCTCAGTTATTCTTTCAAATGTAATAAACATGGGACTGTTACATTAGAAGACTTTTTCTTGAGGTTTTAGTAGTGTTGAAAGACTGCATGATATGAAGCGCACATGTATTTTGGAATATGATGCTGACTGAGACAAGCATCAGAGGAAAGTGGTATGTTTGACTGTTTCTCAATATCTGCTATGTTAGCAATGAAAAAGGCAGCTTAATGATTTCCAGGACAAATGGGGTAATTCCCACTGACACCCAGCTAGTGATCATATGCAGAAGAGAAACAAATACATTAATGACTTGAACAAAGGAGTATGTTATACTTCTTAAAATCTTGATGTTTTATTAATATATTTTCTACTTAAAAGGAAATAATAGTATTATTAATATTAGTTTAGTGCCAAATAAAACTAAGTCAAATTCTGAGAAGGAAAGAATATGAACAATTTAGTTGGGACAAAATTTTTAACATGGAAACATCATTACTTTTAGCTGGATTTCACACAGACATGCTCTCTCTCTCTCTCTCTCTCTCTCTCTCTCTCTCTCTCTCTCTCTCTCCCCAAGATAATCTCTGCCTAAATTGTTTCTCAATTAAAAACAAGGTAAAACAGATGTGCTAAAATCATGTACATCAAAAACACTGTAACTTAGACTGGATATTAATCTTTATAGATTACTGTTATGTACTCAATATATTATATATTTTAATCTATATTTAATGCCATATTAGATGCTTTAGATCAACATTGTATTTAATTTGTTTAAAAAACTATTATTTAAATATTGTAGGTACATGAATCCAGCAAAATATTCCAATATAGTCCAGTAGTCCATAATAGTAGTGGGTTATCCATAGAACTGGCAATGTCAGAAGTTGATGGCTTGAGCCTTTTACATCTCAGCATATTAATATAGCTTTATTTTTTATAACTTGTTTTTGTATTATTCTGCTGTATGGTTAAGACCAAGATAAAGTAAGACCTATGTAATAAATAATGTAACTTTTGTATCTGACAAGGTCAGTCAAATCCCCTCAGGATTTACTATGAAACCCAGCACAGCAGTTTGTAGATCCTTTGTCAGTGTCAGCCATGTGGATGAGTTAAGGTCATTGCTTGACCAATTTGCTCTCTGTGAGAGCCTGAGAGAAAGTATTCTCTCCATGTGACTCTCCTTAGGCACACTCTACATCATCGATCACTTTCCTCTGTGGCGCCATTGTCTCCTTGATCAGAAAATTTGGCACATCACTGAGTTACAGGATGTTGCAGTGCAGGTTCTCTTCTCTGACAAAACTAAACACAAAAAGGGGATACAAATGAAGGACCATTTTGTATCTGCGTATACAAAATAGTTAGGATAGATATACAGGTACTTTCTCTTAGTTCAATGAGAAGAAAGATTTGTACCAGTAGTGTTTGGACAGGATATCATATCTGCATCTTGTATTATGAATAACCGCTAAGAAGACAACAATATGCAATGTATTAATTATTGAAACTATCTTACTAATTGGTTTTGAAACTGTCTCATTGCTAATTGTTTCTCAGTAAAATTAATTAAAGAATTATTATTAAAATAACTGTAATTTAAAGCTTCTGGAATAAAATTAATACTGTCCAGCAAGTGTAAGGCTCTGAGTTCAATCTTTTGTATTGATATA